GCCCTACTCACTGAGCTAGGGGCACAGAGTCTAGTTTCTGTATTTTTAGGGATTTGCTTCTTCCCACTTCATGGCCTTTGCGTATGTAGTTCCCTGTGTCTGTCCATTCTTCTCCCTTTCCCCATGTCCCCTGCTCCCAGAACTTTACCTAATTAATTCCTCTTTTTGCTTTCACATCTAGCTTATATGTCCTTTTTTTCCTGACCACATCCATCCTCCCCCACTCCCCAAATCTGGTGTGACTATTAAGTTACCTCAGAATACCTTGTGTTTAGTAACATTTAGCACAGTTGTAATCACATGTTTAGTTCTGATAAGTAATTACCTGTTTAGAGTTCTCTAAAGGTCGCCCTTTCCCTAAAGGGCCATATTTCATCATGTGCTAAACCTAATGGACAGTCAGATATTTGTGGAGTGAAAGAATAAAAGACTTTTGATACATAAGGCCAACCACTTTGCAGAAAGGTGGTTCTGCTGAACCTAATGGACAGTCAGATATTTGTAGAGTGAAAGAATAAAAGACTTTTGATACATGAGGCCAACCACTTTGCAGAAAGGTGGTTTCCATTTACACTCATTTCAAAACATATGACTGAGGGGGTCTGTTTTGCCACTACTTGGCCTAAATTGAGATTTATTTTTTTAAAAAAATCTTACTGATTAGGTGATAGATGATATCTCATTATTTGGTACCATTTCTTTGATTGCTCGTGATATTGAGCATATATGTATGTTCAAGTTTGTAAGTTATTTTTTTCCAATAATTGTTCTTTGAACTTTTTTTATTGAGGATTTAGAATTTTTAAATTTTTTAAAAATAAATTCTTTATATACTAAGATTATTGTGGTATTACTAATATTTCCTGATTTATTGTATGCCTTTTGATTTTGCTTTACATTTTTTACATTTTATATAATCAAATCAAATAATGCTTTATTAATATTTCATTCTCATTTCCTTATTTTTATTTATTTTGTGAGACAGAGTCTCAGGCTATCGCCCTGGGTAAGAGTGCCTTGGCGTCACAGCTCACAGCAACCTCCAACTCTTGGGCTTAAGCAATTCTTATGCCTCAGCTGCGCAAGTAGCTGGGACTACAGGTGCCCACCGCAACGCCTGGCTATTTTTTTGGTGGTTGTTGTAGTTGTCATTGTTTTAGCTGGCCTGGGCGCCAGCCTTGGTTATGTGGTCAGTGCCCTTCCCACTGAGCTACGGGAGCTGCCCCTCTCATTTCTTTAGAAATTCCTTCTCTATTCTGAACATAGACAAATATTCCAGTGTTTTCTTCTAATAGGATAATGATTTCCTTTTTATATTTTACTCTATCCATTTCAT